CAGGGATTTAAGTGTGATGGAAGCATCAGTAGGGTGATGACTGTGGCTGGGCAGGAGAGGGTGGTATGCCAAGAAGCAGCTTGAGCAGAAGTATTTAAAATATTCCTGGAGTAATTCAAGCAAAGCAGGAGGGGAGGCGAAGATACTTGCTCTTGGGGACAGCAGTGTACATCGTATACTTCATCAGATGCCTAACCTGAACTTCTCAAAGTATTCAGTTTTCCAGGAAATCTTTCAAGCAAGCATGAAGAAGCTTGAACAGATTTTGCTATTACTATTTCTTTAAATGTTGGATAATGCTACCCCTGAACAGTAACGGTATCATTTTGGCTGAATTCACCATGTTGTGTGGTTTGAACGTGTGCCCTGCTACAACTCTTCAGAACTGGCTGAGTGTTTCAAGGGAGCCGGACTTACAAAACTGTTCTCTGTTGCTTCTCTTGTTTAGACACGAATGCTTTACCTGGCAGGCAGGCTGTTCTACTGAGAACAGAAAGTCTTTTCATTTGCGCCACAGGCTTTTGCTTGAATTGAAGTCCCAGTTCTGTCTCAGAGGCCCCATGGGGCCAACTGGTGGTTCATGTAGCTACTAGTCTGCCTTGGAAAGGGACACACCAGGTCATTGAGGGAGAGCTTGCAACCCTGACTGCCTTCTGTTGTTCATCTCCCTCGCACTTCCCTGGCATCTGGAGCTACGTACCAAGGCTGTTGATGGACACATGTCTGTAGGTTCTTCCCTGCCTGGCAAACCAGCAGCCGCAATGCACACACTCCCTCCAAACATATCCTGTGCACGTTGCCAGTCTCATCTCCCGTCTTGGAAGCAAAAGCAAGACCTACCAGTGTTTGCTTATCTGTGTGTAATTGGTTTCCTTAAAGCAGGAGCTGGCCAACCATATGAATCATGAATGTTTTGTATGTTCACAGTCTCTCTAGTCATGCTACACCGTGTCGATATGCTTTAGTTGTGTTTGCTTCATGTGATGAGGTGGTTCTCTGCATTCACCTGAAACTCAGTTAACAGAAAGTGCCGTTTGCTATGTTGCATTGGGCTCTTCCTCTATTAAACTAAATTCCTGTCCCCAAGAAACATTTAGCAGTGAAACCTAATACCGAATTTGTCATATGCAAGAATATTTTTGTTTCACTATTTCCACGTAGTAGAATCATGATTTCCTTCAACAGACTCTTATTTTCATACTGTTTTCTTTAAAAATGGGAAACTTTGGAAACATGGGAATGAAACGCTGCTGCTGCCACCAAAGGAGCTCCTGTGTGGGCTCTCAGACTGGCAGCGCCAGTGCTGAGAAGTGTGTTGGAAGGAAGTCTGCCCGGCTCTCCCCTTTTCCTTCCTCCCCAGCCTCGTTCCGGAGGGTCTCTGGGCTGGGGCCTCTGCCGACGTCGGCATTTGGGGTGTCCGGGCGACTTCCTTGCAGCCGGGAGCTTGGGCCGGGACGCCCGCCC